GAAATCTTGCTGCTTTTTCTCGCCGATCATCTCGCTTGTTCATCCTCCCCAGTTTCTCGGGAATCGAATAGTAGCTTCAATTTTCTTTCCTTTTCTTACGTTTTCTTATATATATCAGCTCCTCTATTGTTCCTCCTTTGCGCTTCTCGACATAAACAGCGCGCCACGCAGACTATAGCCATGGTACGAATCCTGAATTCCCCTCCCCCTCCCCCGCCCTGAAGCCGAAGCCCATCATCACCATCATCAACACCACGCAGAATGACACCCCCATCACGATAACATCCATCACACAAACAACTTTCCACTCAGTCCCAATCCGAAACTAACGCAGCCATGTAACCAACAGGCCGCCCAACAAACCCCCAAGCAGCGCCTCGCGCTCGCCATCTGCGACTTCCTCTCCACCTCCACCACAGACGGCACCCTCACCGCCGACGACAAGGACTCCATCGACGTGGCAATCAACTGCATCGCCGAGTCCTTCAAGGTCGACCCCTCCGACGAGGCCGCCGTCAAGGCCGCCGTCGGCCCCCAGAAGCTCATCAACGTCTTTTCCCTCTACGAGAAGCTCAAGCCAAAGGACGATAGCAACAACACCTCCTCATCCTCCTCAACATCCGCCGACCAATCCTCTTCATCCTCATCCTCCGTCCCCGAACCCACCGACGCCCAAAAGAAAGAAGCCGAATCCCTCAAATCAAAGGGCAACGCCGCCATGGCCCAAAAGGACTACGCCGCCGCCATCGACCTCTACACCCAGGCCCTCGCCCTCCACCCCCGCAACGCAGTCTTCCTCTCCAACCGCGCCGCCGCCCACTCCGCCGCAAAGGACCACGCCTCCGCCCGCGTCGACGCCGAGGCCGCCGTCGCAATCGACCCCTCCTACACAAAGGCCTGGTCCCGCCTCGGCCTCGCCCGCTTCGCCCTCGGCGACCCAAAGGGCGCCATGGAGGCCTACCAGAAGGGCATCGAGTACGAGGGCAACGGCGGCTCCGACGCCATGAAGAAGGGCTACGAGACCGCCAAGCGCCGCCTCGAGGAGCTCGAGGCCGAGGATAACGTCGCCTCCCGCGGCGCCGGCGCCGGCGCCGGAGCTGGCGGCGGCATGCCCGACTTTAGCAACCTCGCTTCCATGTTCGGCGGCGGCGGTGCTGGCGGCGGCGGCGGCGGCATGCCCGACTTGAGCTCCATCATGAGCAACCCCATGTTTGCCAGCATGGCCCAGAACCTCATGAGCAACCCGGACCTCATGAACAACCTGATGAGCAACCCTCGCCTTCGCGACATGGCCAGCCAGTTCAGCAGCGGAGGCGGCATGCCCGACTTGGGATCCCTCATGTCCGACCCCAACATTGCCGAGATGTAAGCTGTTCTTCCCTCGATTGTGGAATTGCAACGATGCAATGTGCAATATGCTCATCATTGGGCTTTCTAGGGCACGGAATATGATGGGTGGCGGAGGTGCTG